GTTTAGGGGTTTAGGGGTCTTAGGGGCACATTTATAGCACAAGAACATGAAGACTACTGCTGGGAAACAAATCGGGGGGGCTTAAGAAGTGGAACAGGATGTCAGTGGTACATTACATGTGGGACTATAGGTTCATAAACGGATACTATTCCTCGCTATTCCTAGCTCCGAACTCTAGACCTGATAGCCTGTTGTGTATTATGGTATGTTATAGTTTGGCTACATGAGGGACCGTAAGGGGGGGCTCGTCCTACTTATTCCGAAACCACAAGAACGCTAGACTCTGAACCCAAGCCACCCCAAATCCACACCCGGGACCTGGACCCTACAGTATTTCTGTAAGTCCAAGACCCTGAACCCTATTCTATACTCTGTAGGGTTTAGGGTTTAGGTTGGGTTCCTAAGGCATAAGGCCGCAGGCTTACTTTCGAGCTTGCTCCTCTGACTGGTACAAGGCCGTCGATGCCACCTGCAGAGGCAAGAAACGTCCGCCGAATATCGGGACCTTGATTTTCGGGCTTAGGGTTGAGGGTTTCTTTAAAGGGTTCGTGTAAGGGGCACATGAGGGTTTGTATGATCAGGGGTTTCGTCAGGTCTTCATAGGGTTTGGGGGAGATATCAAACTTGAACTATAGTGATATCAACGACTGCATGGGAATATTGGCACTGATTGTTTCAACCCCTATGACACCCTACAGTACGTTCGAACCGGCTCTGACTTCAAGTCTCCCACAGCCCCATCAACACAGGACTTGACGCCTTGCGCCGGGCTCCATGCGCAAGACTTGCGGTTGCTGATGCTCTTGCGACGGAATTTCTTGCGCTTGCGATGTATGTATACATATATGAACATACGTACATACTTACATACAAACATAGATACACACATACATACATACATACATACATACATACATACATACATACATACATAGATACATACATGTATGTGGGTAATTGGTTATTCCTATACTGGTATTGGTAACGGGGAAGAAGTGGTGATATTTGGGGGAAGTGTTAGGGAGTATAGGAATAATCCTCTTATATGGATGAGGTAATCGGTTATTCC